AGAACTATGACCTATCAGAAGATGTTGGAATTCCTTCTGTGACAACAAGTACTGAACCACTAATATTAAATGAGCTGCTAGACAATGATTATAGACAATTAGTACAAACACTAAATAAAAAGCAAAAAGAGTTTTTTTTTATCATGTCTTGCATCTTATTAAAACATCAGACAAACCATTTTACTATTTTCTCTTTGGAGGAGCTGGAGTGGGTAATTCCCATCTTGTCAAAGCATTATATCAGGCAGCATTAAAATATTATAACTCCAGACATGGAGAAGATTTCCAGGAAGTCAAAATATTGTTGCTTGCCCCTACTGGAAAAGCTGCTTTTTCTATCAGAGGTAACACAATACATAGTACCTTGCAAATACCAGCATGCCAATCACTTAAGAATGACAAACCACTAGACTCTAGTAGACTTAAAACTTTGAGATGCAAACTTCATGCACTTAAACTAATATTTCTAGATGAGATATCTATGGTAGGAAATACCATGTTTAATGTACAAATAAACAATAGATTAAAAGATATTAAAGGCAGCAAAAAGGCATTTGGGGGTGTTAGTGCACTGGGTGATTTATTCCAGCTAGAACCAGTTATGGATAGATATGTGTTTAAAGACATGAAGGACTCAGAGTATGGAGCTCTTGCTCCCAACCTCTGGAAAGAACTTTTTACCATGTTTGAATTACAAGAAATCATGAGGCAGAGAGAAAGTAAACAATTCGCTGAAATTCTTAACAGATTAAGAGAAGGTAATCACACTACAGATGACATTGCCAAACTTAAAGAGAGATGCATTTCAGAAAATTGTAGAGACTACCCAACTGATATTCCCCATTTTTTTATACAGAATTCTAAAGTAGATGAGTGGAACAATAGAGTCCATATGGCAGCTACTGGTGATAAATACACCATTAGAGCTTTAGACAGTGTTATAGGTGCAAACTCTCCAGAACTCAGAAGTAAGATATTAAACCAAATACCCCTAGATCCTAGAAAAACCAAGCAGTTAGCCTCAAACCTTCAACTTGCTGAGGGTGAGAGAACAGAGATAGCATTAAATGTAAGAACTGATGATGGTATCACAAAAGGGGCAAGTAATATTATCAAAAAGATTACATTATATGACAAAAGTAGACATCTGGTATAATTTGGGTACAGTTTGACCATGTTGATGTTGGAGAAAAAAGTAGATATGATAACAAGCAATTGTATTTGCAAGGAATTGAAGCTACATGGACTCCTATCAAACCTATCATTGCACAATTTGCAGTAGGAAGAAACAGAACAGCCCAAGTTGTAAGAAAGCAGTTTCCATTAAGACCTGCAGCAGCCAAAACCATACATAGATCACAGGGTGACACAGAAACTAGAATAGCTGTTAACTTTAACACCAAAAGAGCAATACCTCATGTGCATTGTGTAGGACTCAGCAGAGTAACAACAGTTGATGGACTTTACATAACTGACCTTTCTGAAAGTAAAATAGCTGTTAATCATGATGTTAAAGTTCACATGCAGCAGTTACGCACAGGTCACCATACCAAACTTTCTAATACTCCGATCTATGAATTAGACCCAAATACTTTTAAAATTTGCTTCCTTAATTCAAGATCTCTGCATAAACATATTGAAGACATACGTAGTGACCTAAACTATTCAAATATGGATATCAATATATTCTCAGAAACAAGACTGTACCATTTAGATAGCAATGCCAGCTATGCCATAAGTGGGTATACTATATTTCGAAATGACAGTGAATCTGCAATACTCACTACAAGACCCTTTAGTGGAACAGCTGTATACACTAAAATCCCCTTTAAGCCTGGATATCCACTGGCCAAAAACACCAATGGAGTAGAAATAACCATTATCAAAGTTGTTGCCATTCCCCATGTTAATATCATAGGTGTGTACAGGTCACCGAAAGTGTCAGTCCAACAAATGTGTCTAGCATTGACCCAAATTCTCAATAGTTGCTGTTCTGATTTTAATGTTTTTCTTGGGGATTTTAATGTCAATTACTTAATTCAAAAAGAGAAAGTTCCCCTCAATAACTTGTTTATAAGAGAGAAAAATTACAGACAATTGGTATCATCCTATACTACTGATAATAGAACAACTATTGACCATATATATACCAATTTGCCTGAATCACAAGTGACTGTACGCATTCTGGAAACATATTTCACTGATCATAAAGCAATATGTGCATTGATTAAAACTTGATGTTGTTAAAAATTGAATACACATGTAACTACGTGTAAGATGTTTGAGAATGCCATAAAGTACCAATAGAATTCAATGTAGGAAGATTAATTCAGAAATTCACTTGACACCCATCATCATAATTTATGCATGTATTGATAAGATGTTCCAATTTTTCAGATCACAAGCCAGTGTTTTTGCATAAATTGAAGGATAGAAACTTGAAAACAGGCACACATGTGAAGTCAGTTAGTTAACTGTCAAGTAACTGATCTAAAAATACTAATTTTCCTCAATGAAATTCCTCAATAAGATAACCTAAAACTATAATGCAATTCTGAGGGTTGTTTTGCTTTTTGGCAACCTTCTTACACTTTTTTCCATCAAAGAATAAACATAGGGATAGAGGTAAGCTTGCAATTTTTTTCCAATTTTATTTGGTTTCCCCTTTCTCTCAATAGTAGCAAACAATTTCCTAGCCAGTTTATATAATAACAACTAAATATACTTATTTCTCTGTTTAAATCTAAGTACCTTCTCCTCATTTTAAGTCTTTGTGTCAATACCAGTAATTTCATGTATTATCCCATTTTTCCCTTACAGCCTGTTCCTGAAAAATGGAGGATGAACTTACTGGCCATCTTCATAACATTTCTCCTCTAAAGAAAGGTTCTAAAACCACATGGTTTGATATGCAAATTCTTTGTTCGCAATTCATGGTTCGTGCAGAGGTCCCTAATAAGTTGTTACACATTCTGTTCCTCCAAAAGTTACTTGTAGAAGGGAGAAGACAATTAGAATGCACAGTAGAAACAAGGATTAATTAAATGCAGTAGGTAATCAAAATTACAAATTAGAATCAAGTAATCGGTGTGAAATCATGTTGAATTATACGGATGAAAAGGGGGAAGTTGCGATTGAAGGTTACGAGATTATAATTAAAGATTGTTGCTGAATTTGTGTGGTCCCAACTGAAAAAAAAAAGTACAGCAGTACATAAACTAAGAAAGTACCCTGGGAAATGCAACACATACCTAACTAACAATGAGACGATTATAAAGAGAACTGAGTGTGAGAAATAAACCAATGTAGTCAATACAGACCGAGAGGGAAATATCGTAAATGTAAAATAAAGAAAGACTTACTTTTGTCTAGCTCCTAACGATAGCAGATGAACATTGAAAGTAACAGCAGCAACTAATGGCGATAAAAGATGAGATACAATATCTGATACATGTGCTCAAAAGAAAGTGATTGAAATGGCAAACTTATTAATTAATAATCATTAACTAATGAGGGATTAATTGTTAAAAAGAAGCCAGAACAAAAGACAAGAGAAAAGTACACGAACTACGCGCTTCGAAACTAACACTCACGTGAATACAAACCCCTATAATATTTTCTCTGGACCAAAAGCTATTGATAAAATTCAAGGAAAATAAGCAAGAAATATATCCTTATTCCAAAAAGTCTTAGATAGACCGTTCAAAAACGAAAAAACCAAGGAATTTCTTGAACTTACAAGACCTGGGCGATATATGCACCATCGTTGTTTACATAAGTTCATGGCCATAGCGTTGTGTTAAAGATTCTGGAAGTTGAATAATTTAAAGACAAAATCTTCGATTTAATAATACCTTAAAAACATATGAACACTTAAAAAAATAAAATTATCAGTCCAAAAAATAGTCAAATATCGCAGAGTCTCACTTGAAGTTAGGAAGTTCTGTTTTCATTTTCGGGCCTTTCCCTACGCTTTTGAGAATTGCATTTTTTGTTACCCCAAAACTAATTCCGTCGCTTTTACGCTTAAATTTAAATTATTCCAAGAATATGTAGTTTCCATTTAAGCTCCAAAACGTCTGCTATGATTGGGATAGATCGAAAGAGGTAACAACTGTATGCCACAAAAAAAAGAAGTACATGTAAGCAACTAGCTCGCACTAGACACATGTATGCCTTTGCATACCTATTTTTATTAATTATCTAGGGATAAACCAAAACGGTTGTTTGTTATTTAAAAAAAAACGTTTAGATTCAGTTTCTAGTTCATTACTCCATAATGTCAGAGAAGAATTCGAAAGGGAAGAAGCGAAAATGGGAACCAGTAGAATTGGACGATCCTTCGTTCTTTGCGGGCGAAATGGATGGATTTATGTCCCTTGAAGTCATGGAAGATTATCATCCAGAAGAGCTAGCAGGAATTGGTGCAGGTGGACCAGCTCAGAAGAAGAAAATAAAAGAATGGCCGCTGTAGGAGGTGAATTGCTTAAAGTGCTTTAAAACATACCGCATAGTTAAATTTAGAAGATACAAATGTAAGATTCACTTCAAGCACGTGGTGAAATTACCCTTGTATTTTACGAGAAAATGGGAAAAATTATCTTTTTAAATTATTTCGTTTATTTATTTTTTATTATAACTTATCTTTAATTATTAAATGTTGAGGGTTGTCCAATACATCCAAATTGGGTTGAATCGTTCACAAATCGACCCACCAGAAGTTAATTAGTGGTTAAGTCATCTTGTGATACTGGAAATCTGAATAAACCGTGCCTCTTAAGGTGGAAATGTCTTACTACAAGTCGATTTTCAAGACGCTTAATAATAATCCTCAACCTGACTCAAATGGAATGACTTGTCTCCTGAGTCAGATTGGGTGTATTGGACATGAGAATCAAAACTAAGATAACTGCCAGTCATACCTTAAATGAAAAAAGAAACAAACAAACAAAAAGAAAACAACAACAACAACACTCACCACAAGAACTACATGGAAATACAGGAATTGATCGAAATCATTTTGAGAGCAGTTTGTCCTAAATTTTTTGAAGACAGCAGACTGCATTGTCCCAAGGGCTCATGCATTTTTTCAGTCTTTACCCATACATGCACAATTATGTATATCTAAGAACAGAAGCTTCTTTTTGGTTTTCTCTAGAAGTTTGGCTCACGGGGAAAAAAAAAAAGCTACATAGTATTTTCTTTTGATTTAAATCTTCATGATTATCTGGAACAAACAGTTACCACACCATCCACACAACTTGAAAAAGCACAAAGAATGACCAACTCACTCAGTTTTCACCAGGCCTGTCAAAATTCTTTAATCTTTGCCTTTGTTGCCTTTGTAACATATTTAGTGTCGCTGATGGACAAAGTTGGGCTGCAGAAGAACAGTTGTAAAATTATCGATGTCACCAACAAGAGAGGAACCATAGAAACCCTGACAGAAGCAAAGATCTCATGTGCAATTGAAGAGGTTTGTAATAGTTGAGCTAACAAGGAAGTGAAACTCTCCAAGATCCAGGATACAATTTTTATTACTTTTTATTGTTGGTTTGAGTCAAATGCATCTACATGTACACCACATTGTCTGGGAAACATGATCCACGGAACCACAGAGGTGTACCAAGTGAAATCGAAGGAGAACTACGAAACATACAGTTGTTGTAAAAATCACCTCATTCAGATTTATTTTGAATTTTCTTTCTAGGACCTTTATCTCCACTATTTCCTTTCCCGGTACCCAGACTGTACTTTGGTTTTCTCCAACACCATGGACTGTGTGAGGAGACTGGGCTCTTTGTTTAGGCTCTTGGACTTTAACCCGTGGGTGTTGACATGGAGATTTCGTCAAACAATCAAGAGCTTCTTTAGTTGGTGATCAGCTCCCCTATTCTCGTGACTTGAAAGAGAACCTGCAGTTTTAAAGAAAATACTGCTAAAAAGGCTCTAAATATATCAACTCAAGATGTTTGGTACTTAAAATCATACCTCTAACCTTGTTAATTTTTTTCGGCCTTCAAAACTGGCCTTCACGGCAAGTTCGAACTACCCGCGTTCTCCATCTTTTTAGGTGCGCAAGGCATTTTTATGGTTGCTCCGTTCTTTCGTAGTTGGGGTTATCCTGGGGTTTTCCTTAGCAAAATGGCTAATAGCGAATCGTTCGAGTGCATTAGTCCGGTAAAAAACAAGCAGAATCCCCTGCCAAAACACCACATTTATTGACGTGCATGGATTCATGCCATTGGAAGGACATTTCTTCCAAAAGATTTACGTGTGCGTTCGGAGCATTTCGAGGACCATTGCCTCCATAGATCATACTTAATTTGAGTACGGATAGCTTTGTTAACAGGAGAATGATTGGATACCCATTTGATAACGAGGTTAGAGGATAATTTTAAGCACCCAATATCTTGTATTTGATACATTTATAACTATATAGTTATATAGTTAAGGAAATTTGTCATCGCACGAAGATGATACCCCTCTAGTTGATAAAAATTTCTTTTAGCCGCAACCAATATTTTAGGAGGAATAGGTACATCGTAATCGTCTTTAGGAGTTTACTGAGCCCGACTACAATTTAACCCTTTACACCCTTAAAAATCAGTTTGCATTTTCTCCACACCATTTTCCATGAATTTTTTTGGAACCAACAAGGAGAATTTGTTTAACAATCAAGAGTTTCTTTAGATGGTCGTTCCCTTTATTCTCGTGACCTTTATGTTTGATTCAGGAGTGATGCTGTCAGAAGAAACTAGATGCCAGTCATTAATAGGCGTTTAAGGGTTAACTTACAGTCTCTCGTGTCGTTCGTTTGTTTGTTTCATTTTTTTGTTCATATTTGTTTTCTTGATTTTATTCTTTTTCAAATTTCGTTTCGCAGGAATGGATTGGGCTATGAAGTTCTTACCAATAGGCTACAGAGAGACGCAGCGCGATTGGTTTGGCAAAAAAGGAAAGCCCTGGCACATTACTGTTGCCATTAACAAAGCAGACAGCGAGGAAATTGAGGTTTGTTTAATGTTGAAACAGTACTTGTGTCATTCTTTTTTCCAAGTTAGCATATAACTCTTTAATAAAATCTGAAGGAAAATTCAGTGCAAATTTTTTTTGCACACTGACTGCACCAACGCGAAAATATGAAAAGGCGAGTTTATTCGAGTTTGGACAACTAACTGCCCCGAAGCCAAAACCAAAAAATGTGTCAGAGATTCCGGGTTGAATTTTTGTTTTTTTTCTTTATTTAACCACTCTAATATTCTCTTCAGACACGAACCTACATCCATATATTTGACGAGTGCACTCAGAACTGGTTTGCTGTGGCGTCTATAATCGAACACACGTTGACAACACTGAAGGCTTGGAAGCCAAATCTCAGCCAAGTGCACTTGAGATCAGACAATGCCGGTTGTTACCACTGCGGTTATCTTCTGCTTTCGCTCCCCAGCATCGTTGACCGCACTGGTGTCAAGATCACGCGCTACGACTTTTAGCGAACCACAAGCAGTCAAAGACATCTGCGATCGTCGGGTCTCTGTCCTCAAAAGTCACATGCGCCGCTTTCTAAATGAAGGTAATGATATCAGAACAGCCAGCGACATGAAAACCGCCACTGAATCGTACGGTGGAGTCAAGGGCTGCTATGCAGCAGTGTATCAAGTTCAGCCATCCGCACAAACAATGACCAAACATACCATGATAGGCGTACAGGTATCGAATAATTTCTCGTACGAGAATAGAGGCTTGAGAATGTGGCGTGCTTATGGTATTGGTCCTGGAAAGTTCTATAGTGCAGACCAGCTGGCACGGTTTGGAACACCCCTAGAAATCATGTAATCCGTACTAGCTTCCTACAACTACAACTCGTAGAAATACTTACCATGTGCTCAATTGCCCTACTCTACGCATACGCAGGTCTGACGCATGCGCTTTAGAGCCCGAACGGCGATTTCAGGCTGAAAGAGGAAAAAAAAAAAAGAAAAAGAAAGCCGAAATTTAAACCCAGGCCTCACTGCCTGGGTAATGATACTAAAAGGTTAAATTCGAACCTTTCATATCCCGATAAATCTCGACCTTAATCAACGAGGCCCTCGCGAAGGCTACAAACCATTACACTTGTCAAAATTAGCCCAAAAGTTATTGTTTTTGCCATTCTTTGTGCATGACATCATTTGCAAGAAAGCTGTGATATGATTGGTACGAGAAAACGCTGTGATTGGTGTGAATGACTAAACGGTGTGATTGGTGCAAGACATCCGAATGCTGTGATATCATTGGTGTGAGATATAAACCCTTGTGCGGCAATCTGATTGGTGCGAGATACAAACCCAAATGCGGTGATTGGTGAGAGCAACATACCATTTCACTCACTAACATAGTTTTTTTTTATTTTTTATTTTATTTTTTTTATTAAGGGCCAGCCAGAAACCGCAACGGACACACAAGGAGTGTAAAATGTTCGCATTTTGGAATATTTAGCGTTGTAAATCGGCCATATTTCGTTTCCCAAACTATTCCGTATAACGTATGGAGTTAACGGTTCCTCGCGTAACCTAACACCGTGTAAAACAACGTGTGACGCTTTCATGAATAAATACATGTGTGTCCGAGAATTAATCTTTCGTCTTTCTCGAGATGTGAGCTTGGGACGCCTCTGCTCAAACTCCTTAATTGCAAGTGCAACAAAAACCTCAAGAAACCTCACCCCAGCACCCCGGGGTTGTAAGATTGTATGTAAACGTGTTTTATTTTTCGACCACGGCTAGGCGGGTTACCTCACCCCACCTGGGGTCCCCCATCTCCATGTAAACAGGCCCTAAAAAAAAACTCAGAAAATGCAACAACGACGCCTGTTCTGTAGTCTGCGTCATTTACGTCAAAGGTATCCATGGTTAATGTTGTTCTAGTCTTTCCATGTCACGCAGTCCGACACGCGAAAACAATCAGAAGCAAAATTTCACCCAAAACCTGCGGCAAGTGGAGCTACTACTCTGTGATGAATGTGTTCAGTAGAAATATAATCTCCATAGAAGCGTTAAGATGTGACGGAAACTATTGATAGCGCAGAGCAAAGGTTAGTGTTTGGAAACTGCAAGTGTGAGCTCACCGAATACCCCTCTTTGAAATTGTCTGCGTCATTTGACGACGAAATCCGCTTGAATACGAGATTTCATCTTAGGCCGCAAATGGACAAACCTTTATCTCAACCAATTTTTTTCTATTCTGATGACTGCTGAGACATTGAAGCCTGACTGACCTAAATTAACGCATGTTGCAGGGAGCTGATAATATAACCAGGTGAAATCGTTATGCTTCCATGACCGCAAACCAATTGCTAGTGGGCCTCCGAGTGGGAGCTCACAAGTCAACCTTTGCAGATAAGAGTTTGTAGATTATTCCATATTGAGTTGAGTTTCAGTTTGAATACGTTCTTTTTGTCTATTACAACTTGTAATAAACACATTGTTACGACCTCAAGTGAATCTACGCTGCGCTAGCAAGCATTTTACCTTCCCGACCATCTTTATTTTAGCCCACACACAGGCTGAATTAACCATAAAAAGAAGTCACTAAGGGTGAAGAAAATGGCTCATACAGTCGAACGATCGATTCCATTTTACCGAGTTTGTCGAAATCATTCGACTAAAATCGGTTCATGTGGTTGCGCAACGATTAAAATCGAAGTCCTGGTATAGTCCTGATAAGTGACAGATCACTCACAAACACGACACGATTAGAAACTAAAGATAACAATACGTTTTGGATCACACAAGATTGCAGTATTCACCATTTGTGAAAAAATCGCTGACGTAATTTTTAGCTCATGTCAAGTCAATTTAACGGTAGTCTCATTCTTAGCTTCCTGTGTATAATGTTTACCGACAGCACCTAGTGCAATTTTTTCCCCCGTTCACGCTGTATTGTGCTTCACTTGTTTATCTGCTGCCACTTCGTTGTCATGAGGTTCTACCCACATAATAGGTGGCAATCGAATTGTAGAATAAGTTACATGTACACAATTTATCTCCTGAAAGTAAAAAGGTAGTTGTCGTGAGGATAACATCATTTATCGGTGATGAATATCGAACCAGTATGATGTCCTTTTATGTTTATCAATGTCATCGATAGCATTTTTTGCGAAAAATCGGGTTCGGTTGATAATTATGTCTTAGGATAATAACATACGTATTGAGTAATTTCCTTAGAAAAAAATCAATTTATCATTTGAAATATTATCGAAGCCCAAAAACGCACGGATATAAGAGTAAACATATGACTAGATTAAGTTTATGATAAATTGTTTAATCGTTTGTCTCACGATGTAGTCACTTGGGATGCAGATCGCGACGTTTAGACTGCTTGCTGCTTGTCTTCATCAGGCGATGGGGTCGATGCAATCGCATTAGATAGCCTTGATACAAATGGTAACGAGTGAGCAGTCGACCCCATCGCCTGATGAAGACTAGGAGCAAGCAGTCGAAACGTCGCGATCTACATCTGAACTGACTACATCGTGAGACAAACGATTACACAGTTTGTTATTACTTACCATCACGATGAACGATAACCTCTTTTACGATGTAGATCGAGTTTAATTCAAGAATTTTGCCATGTGAGAGATTATTCAGCGTTAATTGATTTCCGGTTAATTTTTTGCGATTAGTGACAGATGATTGAACAATAGGATCATATTATATATTTAAAAATGAGAGAGACCGGAGCGTGAGAGAGGGAGGGAGGGAGGGAGAGAGATATCAAGTTGATTTCATAAATAAAACGCGAAGTTTCGGAACATAGCAGATTCTTTAGTCTCATTTCCGACACAGTGGCACCTCCGACGGGACTCGCGAAGCATGGAGGAACTAACCAAAGAAGCAGAGGCTAAATTGCAAATGTTGCTGTAAACTAATGGAAAAATAGCAGATTTTTTAGTCTCATTTCCGACAGCCACAGGTTAAACAAAAGAGAAGTGTAAAGGAGTATGATCATACGGATTGTTTTGGTGGAATTCCGAATCCGAAGAAATTCTTTTTTCCCAGATGCGATCAACCTTTATCTTCTCTTTACTTTATTTCAATATTTGAATACATTGTAAAACACGCTGGTGATTGAAATTAGGAAGCTATCAGCCAAAAACCCTGCAATGCTGCCCTAAATTCCCCTAATTTACGTGTATGGAAAGTGCGCCGGCTAAAAGGAAGAAGTTCTACTCGGATCTGAAGAAAAGGCCAGTTTGATTTTCACACTAAGTGAAACGGCCATATGTCACGCTTTTTTTTAAGTCACGCAAAAGCAGATTCGAGAAGCATTTGCAAGCAATTTTAAAAGAGAAATCAGTGCTCCAGAGGTATTCAAAATCAGTTTAATGCAATACCCTTGGTGACCTTGAGATATAACGAACACTTTTGCAAGTGAAAATATTTGTGTGAGTCAATTGGTTTTGAAATCGAATATCTTATTCATTCTTTCAGTGCTGGACCTGGGAGACTGACGAAAAAGCAGCAAGCAAATTTCTTGGTTAAAAAGTCATAGACCTTTTCTTAGTAACGATCCGGTATTTCTTCATGGCCACCGCTGCAGCACCTTCGTTTCATTCGTCAAAAGAGACAACCAATTACGCCCGGCTGTGCAGGCTTCTGGTGGATGTCGGATCAGATGTCCTGAGAGAAGCATTTGAAAAGAAGCGTCCAACCGGTAACCTAGACACAGTTTTGTCCAGTCCTCCAGTCCATACAGTGCTACAATCACTGAAAAAGAAAGTGTTAAATCCCCTAACCCTACAATGGGGCAAACTGTATCCTGCTGTCAGATCCTCAGTTTCATCGAAGAATTTCGATATAACTCTTCTTATGGTCTTGCTGAGGAACATTTGTGGTCTTGCTCCTCCAGCGACAGGCTGGGATACACTTCCTCCTGCCACAGACACAACCTTCGAGGCAGATATCGTTCGTATCAAGTGCTACAGAAACACAGTTTATGGTCATGTCAGCAACTCCTCAGTTGATGACCCAACATTCAATCAATACTGGCAGGACATCCAAGATTCATTGGTGAGACTAGGAGGAACTGGTTATCGAAGTGCTATTGATGATCTGAAGAAGGAATGCATGGACCCTGATTTCGAAGAACACTACAAAGAGCTTCTTAAACAGTGCATCATGGATGAAGTCAGCATCAAAGAAAAATTGGATGAAATTGGTAAAAGCCTGCATGAAATGACAGAGCAGTTTGGTAAAAGCATGGATGAATTAAAGGAAGCAATCGTTAACCCTATAAAGAAAGCAGAAGACAAAGGTATTGTGTATTGACGGTAAAATCTGTGCACGGCCTTTTGATCTTTCTTGAGAAAGGAAACTTGAAGAGGAAGATTGAAGGGCCTCTGATCAGAGGGTGATAAGCAATTTAACAATCAGTTCATTTTAGTATTATAGAATGCCTACCTTTAACAAGAGCTCAAACTCAGAGAAATATCTTCCACTAGAACTGACCCCTTTCTCTCTGACCCGAAATTGGAAAAAAGACCAGGTGTTGGCTTTTCCATGAATTTTTTGGGTGATAAGCGAGTTATTTATCTATTTTTTTATTCCTCATGCGAGGAGTAAAGAGAACTCACAGTTCAAATAGATTCCCTGCCAAGGTTATTTGCACCAAAAAAACTGCAGTAAGTCCTACAGTATTTGCCTGGTCGGGTTCGTCGAAAGAAAGAAATGGGAAAAAGCTAAAATTCTTGATGAAGTGGAGACTATCAGGACGCATTCTCTCCACTAAGTGTAAAGAATAATCAGGACGCATTCTCTCCACTAAGTGTACTAAGGCCTCTGGCGTAAACACACACACAAAAAGTTTTCTAAGTCAAAGTTAGTTCCTCCCGTACCACAAATTCCTGGAACCGCTACCGAAAACATTTTTTTTTTACACACTTGACTGTCCAAGAGTACTTAGATCGTTGGTTTGTAAAGACAAAACAATCCCCAGCAGACATGTGTCTACAGAAGTAGAACTATTTATGTCGCGTATTTTGTCCAAGCAAAAAGACAACGAATTTGTGGAAAAGTTGATTATCAACAAATTTCTCAGCGACGACCTATCAGCAGATGAATGCACAAGGGGGCTTTTAATTTCTAAATGTCTCCTACAATACGAAGACATCGAGTTTGCTAAGGGAATAGTAAGGAGATTTCACGACATATTCTGCATACGTAATGGACGTTTTGATCTTTCTCGCGTCGGGATGGCGTATGTGGACTGCCCTGTTGTGTCTTTTACATTAAATGTTTTTGGTGTGCTCAATGCCGAGGAGGAATCTGAATGGAATAGAATCACCACGCTTGAACTGAGTGGTGGGGAGGTTACCGATGTCGGTATTGCCAGTCTATGTTAAGAATTACAGACACCAACATGTAAAGTCACCGAACTTCATCTGGGTCATAATCAGATCACCGATGCCGGTGTTGTCAGTCTTTGTCAAGCATTACAGGCACCAACATGTAAAGTCACCGAACTTGATCTGGTTGGTAATCAGATCACCGATGCCGGTGTTGCTAGTCTATGTCAAGCATTACAGACACCAACATGTAAAGTCACCGCACTTAATCTGCGTGGTAATCAGATCACCGATGCCGGTGTTGTCAGTCTCTGTGAAGCATTACAAATACCAACATGGAAAGTATGGGGAGCCATTTGTGCCAAAATTATCACTCGTTAGTGATGAAACTCAATCGTTAGAGCTATCAACAAATCGTGTTTTAAAATCAATTTAGTCTCCGCTCTAAAAAATGTTCAATCATTAGCCCTAAGCCTCAATCGCTTGTGTTGTTCCACCAATCGCCGTTGTAAGACTCCAATTAAAAGCGCCAGTTGTAAATCGCTGGTGTTCTGAGACAGATCGATAGCGCTTAATATCAATTATAGGTTTTAATGTCAGTCGATAGTGTTAAACGAGTATGGCTTGTGTTATTTGTAAAATACAGAAATTGTAACGATGCCAATCGTCAGTGCTGCCACCAATCGTTTGTGATAAGTACAAATCGCTACCGCAAAACATCAATCTTTAGTGCTAGTATCGACTTATTATCGATTCTAACTTGAACCAGCTTGTTTAGCAAAGATGAACCAATCAAATCTTGCTTACTTTCTTGCAATCTGATAAGGGACATTAAAATCCAAAAACATATTTTAAATAGTTCTTTTTTCATACTTATAAATGCCAGGCTATGTCAAGCATTGCAGACACCAACATGTACAGTCACCGCACTTAATCTGCGTATAGTATCAGATCATCGATTCCGGTGTTGTCAGTCTATGTTAAACATTACGGACACCAATATGTCAAGTAACCACACTTTGACAGAGATGGGTGTTTACACAATCCTGATGTTAACCTGGATCGAGTAAACGACATCATCAGTTTCGTGATCAGAATATTTCATGATTTTTTCCAAATTTAACTTTCTACGGAACTAATGCAAACATTTCACAGGGGAATTCTCTATTATGCTTCTCAAGTTCAAAGAGGTGAAAACTTGATTACGGAGGCACTTCAGTGTTTGACGTTGAAGATAGGTGAACCGATTGCAGAAAGGAAAAACATGATTTGCTTTGAAGGGAAAAGAAACTGACTCTAACGACTCTTAGTTATCTCAGCCGGATAGGACACCTTATAAGCAGAAGAACGAGTTCGTGTCTAAGGTAGGGAATCCTGCATCGTCAACGAGCTGTCGTCTTTAGGTTAGAATCTCATTGTCTCGGAAGTTCTTGGAGTTAAAATGTATCTTGAGGGATTGTTTTCTTTGTAAACCGTTGACAACACAACGCAAACCTGCAACAATGGCTCGAAAAGCAAGTAACATCGAACAACAAGAGACGCTTATACTTACGAGTGTTAACGACATCAGTGACGTTTTTATAAGACTCAGGAGCCTGTTAAAAAGCTGAACAAAAATGCACACAATTAACACACATTTTCTTTTTTTAAGATTTCAACAGCTTTTGATGCAGTGCCATGGAAGCTACAGCATGAAAATGAATTTTGGCGGCCATTTACTGATTCGTTACCTCTTCCATAACCAGTTTTGGGGAAGCCACTCTTATTGAGATTCCTTTGGATTTAAGACCATTGAGAACTTCTTGATAGTCAATATTTCGGCTGAAAGAGAATGGAAAGGACAATTAAAACTGCATGAATGGAACTATGTTTATGACTAGGTCAAGTTGGACCAGCTGATGACTTTATTCTTAGTACTACTAACACACACCGTGACTTTGATTTTGATAATGCATTCCCTGAAGAAAAATGGATGAAAGTTTCATATATATATATATATATATATATATATATAAATATCCATTTCAAAATACTTTCTGGGAAAATGGGAAAGAAAAAATCATAACAAACAAACATATTTGCTTACACGTTTCAAACCTTATCCAACCCAAGGTTTGAAACCAGGAAATGCTGTGGTCATTTTGCATTTTTTATGTCATCATGCTTTCAAATCAAGAAACAATATTGCGTATAATATATGAACTTACCGCTCCGTGACACGTGGTACCAAACGTCTGGTTCATTCCCTTTTCCGTTCCTGTCAAAACATAACTGAAAACCAAACAAAACATGGAACAATTTGGGTCTCCATGTCTGCTCAAGATAACCAATAGTTTCGTCCCTCGTGAAAAAGTGTTTTTCATAAGGCTATATGTATAGGGATCGAAAACACCAACAATAATAGCAAATACCTACAATAATAACAATACCTTTGAACGTTACTTCCCCGAGAATACTTTTTAACTTACCTACACCTACACTACCTACCTACACCTACACTTTACCTTACCTACACGTGCCCATGGTTCCTCCAATCAGTACAGGTTGACCAGTCAACTGATAAAATAATGGACAAGACGATGAGTACATGTATCTCAGCAAGAGCAAAGAAAGTTTTCATTAATTTAGAGTCGTGAAACAAAACGCTGCCTGTTGAGCCACCTGCGCCCTCAGTCGAGAAAAAGGAGCCAAGGAAGAAGCGAATAAATGAACCCGAAGACAAAAGAACGTAAAAGTAAAACAAGAAAGGTGCTTGCCCTCAAAAGGAAGTATGGTGCTCTGCGGGTTCCAATCATCGAGCGATTGAAGGGAAACGGAGGGAAGGGAGAATGAACGTGACGAAGAATGCGATTAAAACTGGGAAAGAAATAGCCCAACACGAAAAGTGTTGGACCAGTAAAATAACCTTGGAGCGAACGACTGTAAGCACTCAAACAACGATTTCTAACTTAAAAAAAGTTAATTAAAATAAACCTTAAACCTTGCGATCGAAAGGAGTAGTAAACAGTGAATAGCCGACCTGATAATCCACTGGGATAAGCGGATGATGAGGAGGAAATGCACGGGTTGATCCTTTCCTGTGTACTAAGAGAGTCTTCTGTACACCGTCCAATATCTAATCTACTAGCTAAGGTAAGTAATTAAGTAATTTCAAAAGTTAAAATAATTGTGTGTATATATATATATATATAAAATCCAAAGAACTGAAGATATTGTTGTAAGAACAATAAAGAATACATGTTCTTCGATCTTTGCCATGTTGTGTGACACGTCATAGATCACTTGCATGTCTAAGTCGTCCGGGGTACTCTTGAAAATTTTTCCGAAAGCTTGTCTTGTCAAAAATGTCATCGTTGAACGGTTGACCCAAGCGTAATTCGCTGCTGCAGCCATGCCTTTGAGGTAATCTTGACCTTCTTGTGAGTTAACTCTGGCACAAGTAAGCTGTAAAGGAACCAATTATATGGTTGTCAACACTTGTGTTTAAAACGAGAAACAAATCGTCGGAACCATCCAAATAAGGGGAAGAATAAACTAATCAGAACTTACGATTTCAGACCCGTTAGAGTAGAGCATTACAATTGTGATTGTTTGTCGTAATCCTTAGGAGAAGCGAGCAGTTTAGACGGTTGATCATGAAAACTTTTGTCTCAGTAAGTTGCCTTGTTCTAAAACCGACAAATAAGGGAAATTGGAGAAGACAAAATTTACCAGGCTAAAAACATGAATGATTTAACGTGAACTCTTATACCCTGGCTAAGTTGAGCTTGCGAATCCGATTTTCAACTTCATTGTTTTGAGAACAGTCTTAACTTCTCTGATTCCATCGCTAATGAAAACGTACTATTTCTCCACGTGCTTTTATAGGGCCGTTCGTTCAGCTGACCATTGATCGCAATGTGAAAATCGACTCAACAGATACCAATAACGGAGAAAAGAGACAAAGTCAATTTATATTACACCTATCACGGCGAAACTTCCCCAAAACCATCCAACTATAATTGCACTGGGAGCAATTGCTCATGTAATGACGTATAGAGATATCATTTCTGTAGATGTGGTAAATTAATCAAGGCTCGTTATCCCTACTCTACTAAATTAGATGCCTGGATAAAAATACTTGTTGGAGAAACTGCAAACAAAGCTTAAGGGAAATTCTACTTTAGCAAGTTCCATTTAATAGATGTCATTACAAGTTTCTTTGTCAATGTAGACGGCCATGACAAGTGCAATTGTCGTGGAATACTTGACAAAATACAAACTTAATGCACAGACTTAAATGCACTACACTGTTAGCAAACCTGTCTGTCGTTGACTTCAATCTTGTCCCTTTTCATGGCTTTCTCCATTT